TGAATACTGAAGACACCACCTCCGCATAGATTATCTTATCATTTCGAATTTAGTAAATATGCGAAGTCTCGTCACAATCTGTTGTAAACTCATGCAAATATGGGATTCCAAACAGAACTGTATGGATGGGGGCAACGCTTTTCCCCTGGCATACATTTAGGCATGATAAATCGAGCGGCGAGGCTTATTTTTTTGTTTGAATGAAAAAGGGAAAATCATGGCATCGTCAAAAACGTCCATTGTTTTATTAAAGTAGTTAAAAAGTAGTAGTGACTTAACTATGCTGGTTGGCTAGAAATGAAGGGGATTTACGGAAAGCATCGGGAGGGGATATTTGATTCCACTAGCTATATACAGCTGTTATCCAACTGATTGAAAGACAGCATCAAACGGGGATGTGAAACGCGGGGCCTTATGTGTGTAGAAGAAGTATAAAAGAAATGTAAAAGAAAATGTAAGATAAGTCTCTCATTAAGTAATCTTTGTGCCGTGTGACACTCAAGAGCTTTAGTCCGGATGCTCATTTTTAGGTGTTTTTCTCCGACCACGTGTTCTCTTACTCAGGCGTGTCCAATTTTAGGGTGGAGACTTCCAGGTGAGACCCCATCCGTCATACGTCTGTATCACTGCATGCTCTTCACCTGTTTCAGTTGTTTCTTTTGTTCCGTCTTCTGTAGCAATAGTTATTCTTTGTGAGATGGGATTGCTAGCCTTCCTCTTTGTTTGACGTAGGGACTGCGTGGGGGAATGAAACCAAAGGATCCGGCAGGCAGAGTTAATATAAGCGTTTATTGTGATTTCATTATATTTCGTCATTTCAGTGCACGGATCGCAAAGCATAACAAGTAAGAGGGATACCGGACTCGGTCTAGAGTTAACACGAGAAAAAGGGTCACATCAGCTGACACCAGGAGACAATCCTTCTATGGTAATACCTGGAAAAGAACCTTGTGAGCATACACTGGAACAAGGGCTGATTGAGGTGGAGCCTAGAGAAGGAACTCACGATGTGACACCTCAAGCAGGAGGGCCAGGTACAGATAACGAATTAGATACCCAGGTTCAGAGAAACGAAA